GTGGCAAAGGAAGCGCAAACACTCTGCATCCAGCAGCACAGCTCAATGAATCGCATTGGCACTGACCCCAGGACTTCGATCGTATCTCAGCGAAGAGTGAGCGGCAGCTCAGGAGATTCGAGGACCACATGTGTCTTTACAGACTTCTGGGCTCACTGGCCGCCTTTCAACTTCACAGGATCTCAACTTCTTCAACGTCACCACCTCCGATGATCCAGTTTTGCCGGACCAGTCAGCACGTGCCCAGCTTTTGAGCACCCTAGCTTTCCCCGTTGCATGTCTTGGCTTCTAGTAGGATGTGAGTATTCACTTGTCACATTGTCACGCTAGTTTGTGCCTTTGGCCAGTAGGTAATTGCGGATCTTATCTTGAGCAACAATTGCATTAGGCAAACTAAGAGCGCCTGAGTCACCTCAGCGTTTGGCAGGATCTCTTGCAGCAAGATGAGACCGTCACGGTCATTGACTCTCGATCTGCACGTAAGTTTCTTCTTTGGAACCTTAAGTTGCTTGGTCTCCCGTTGGATAAAGAACGATCATCCTATCATGAGTTCCTGGCAGCTCCATGGCAATGATGCGTCCGACTTGGCCAGGCCACAGACCACGTGCTGGCCTGCCTGGTGGCAGCTGCGAGGTGCGTAGTACCTGGCCATTTTGTGAGTACTGGGAAACATGCAGGGTTTTGTCCATCAACAGTAGTCGTGCCTGAGCAAGTTGCAGGTCCGTTTATTCGTGGGACATCGTGGTGTCGAAGGCCGGGTCGACAGCGATCTGAAACAAACGAAAGGGCCGGCTTTGCCCTTCAAGGGTGAGACTGCTCAGGCCAAGACAGGTCGTGCAGTCATGAAGGCGCTTAAATTTCAATGTTGCCTGTTCCTGCCTTCCAGGTGCAGAACAAGCTGATCTTTGACAAGCGTGACGGCTCGCAGATCGATTTCTTGACAGCAGCCATCCCAGTGGTTCGTGCTGGCGTGGGAGGGCGGGGTGCATGCGTGGGAGGGTGGGTGCATGCGTAGACGTGCGTGTTTGTGCGCGCGTGCGTTTGCATGTGTGTGAATGTGCATGTGCATGTGCGGGTGGCGTGCCTGTGCATTTGCTTGTGTTTATATTAGCATACTATATATATATATATATATCATTATATCGATATTATATATATACATATATATTTAGGGTCTGTGTATGTTGTCCTTGGCGCTTTCTGACGCATTGCACCCAGGTCAACGAGACTGCACAGGATCCTCCCAACGCGGATGACAAGGCGCGACCGCTGGCTGCCTTTCGGTGAGAGGTGCTCCCGGTTTCCCAGGATAGCGTGAACGGGCCCATCCGGCTTGGCCAGGCGCTGCCGAGCCTCCCAAGTATCCGCTAGAGAGACGGCGCAAGGAAGCCTCCTGCATCAACCAGAACTTCTCTCAGATGGTTCTGGATTCCAACGCGGCTTGGTTGCAACCGAGCGCAACTCTGAGCTGCATTCCAAGATTTTGAAGCCTTTCATTAGCACACAACTCTAGCTTGCTGTTCAGGGCCTTTCCCGGAAAGACATACTTCCAGAAACAAGCACGTTTCGAGCTTCAAACCAGCTCGATGTCAGCGCTTCGGAACGGCTCAGGAGGCTGTGGAGAAGATGGAGCACCCGAATCCTTTCGAGGATGAGGACCGAGACATCTCGAGTCTCGTTGCAAAAGTGTGAAGTGAAAGCACACCAAGGTTTGTTAGAACCCCATAGAGTCATGTGAGCCACAATCAAAACCCGGGTAGATGAAGGATAGTAAGGGACGATCCCAGCCAGAAATAGCTGCGGCCGCCTTCTTAGTTCTTTACATGGTTCTGGGTAGACCGTTTTAGTACCAGGTTTTGATTGCGACTCATGTGGGATGGTCCCAACCATGACCTTATGACGGAAAAGGCCGTTCCCATCCTTTGAGCTTTTCTAAAAGCTACTTTCCGTGGCGGGCTTTGCGACAGACCGCTGTGAATGTGGCTTTCAAGCTGAAGTGGGCAGTGGTTTTTCAGGAGAACCAGGGCTGCGTGGCTTGCGGCGCCTACAGATACAGGAAGATCACGCTACCAGGGAATCCCAAGGTGCTTTGCGATAGGAGCGATAGTCGGATGCAAGGCCCCTCTTGTAGTTGTTTGTTTCTCCTTGCATCTTGAAAATATACAACTCATGACTCATGAATCCAACATTGGCAAATGAATCTGCTTCTTGATTGCAGTGCAGGAGTCGCTTCCACTCTTTCAATAGCATTGCGGTTTTGGTCAGCAGAGAGAATCAACTCTCTTCATGAAGCTGTTTTCGGGAGCGTCGCTTGATGCAGGCAGGGACAGACTTTGAGCAGAACCCGGTGAAGCTGGTGGTCCGCATCTTCCCCAGGATTGAGGGGCATAGCACAGGAACTGCCGGAACAGGACTGAGATCAAGTCTCTCAGAGGCGCACATGTACTGTACCCCAGGAAGCGAAGCTTCTCTATTTTGAGGTAGTTGGATCTCCGAGAGCCTGAGGTACTGAGGTGAACTGCAAGCTTCCTGGGACCACGGATCTTGCGTCCGTCAAGGCACATCTTGAGATCTAGCTGTGCTTGTACTTCCCTAATCTTTCCCGGGATCATCGTTTTTTTCCCCAGAACATGACAGAAAGAGGGATTTTGGGGCTGTTTCTCAAACCGACGGGTGAAAAGATCGGGATCAACCTTAGCGAGAGAAAGTGGAGATGCGTGATGCCTTTGGTATGTTTTGACAAGTCAGATGGCTAGGCCATAAATGAGTATGATCCAAAGCCAAACTACAGCTGGAAAGCTCACTTGGCCAGGGCCTCAGGCAATAAGATGCAAGTTCAACGTTGAACATGGCAGAGTGAGCGAGTCAATTGACAGAACATGTGGATGGTGAAAACTGCCGATCATTGGCCTTTTGAAACGGTGAACTGCTACCAAGGATTCACAGAGAGGCAGGCAGCTGTTCAGATGAGTGGCGTTGGTGAGCCGCCTTGAAGTTGGCGGATGGGATCATTCAAACATTTTCCTAGGGGGCCGGCGGTAAACCGTGGTCAAGTACGTGAAGTGGCGGCAATGATTGCGACGATATATTTGTGCTGTGCTGTCAATCGGCCTTTGGTGTTGCTCCGTACAGAAAGCCTCTTTCACGAGACCGGACGTGCGTTGGGGAAGCGTCAGGCGCCTGCTTTGCCACGGAGCTGAAAAACAACGCCTTCAAGCTGGGCCGGTGGACTGCACAGGCGCCGGCTCGCACTCGATGGATCGGCATGCGTCGCAAAGGCGGGAGGTCCGAGGTGAGGATGTCACTGCCAGGCCATCCTTGCAGGCTGCGACACCATCAAGATTGGCTACGTGCTGGAGCCTCGAAAAACTTTGGGAGCAGATTGCAACAAAGAGTATGTTACGAGGAACATTCAAAAGCGCTAAGGCTAATAGTCCGTTCTCGTTTGTATTCATGCCCCTGCTTGCAAGCTACCAAGGTCTCGTCGGGATCCAAAGGACACCTGGAATCACTGCCTGTTGGGAGTGCAGACCTACACCACCAGCAGCTTTGCGGAGCAGATCGGCCTCACGAAGAACAACATGTCTCCGCCCCAAATTGGCGAATCTCCATGATTGCAGGGGTGTGATTCGCATGCATAAAGCATGAATATTGGGTCTTGGAGATTGCGTGGTCGTGCGAGGTTTGGCATTATCAGGAACATTGTCGACCTGGTCATGAGTGTCTCGGAATGTGTGTGTGTGTGTGTGTGTGCATGTTTATAGAGCATCCCTTCATGCCAATTTGCGGTGCGGATCTTGCCAAATGTTCTAACATTGATCAACATGCCTAGTGCCCCATTCCAGTATTTCAGCTTAGCAAACCATTCACTTGAGGCTGGGACGATGGCAAGTATGTGCTGCTGAAGGACGCTGCAGTCACTCACAGCGTGGATGGGAAACATCCCTCCAAACAAATTAATCAAATGGGTTGGGGGTTGGACCCCCTGTTTTGGCCTTTTGTTTGCATGATTTTCGGCTGGCGTTCTCTACATGCATCAATTTAGAAGATGGGGCTGATGTTGAGGGTTGTTCAGTTACTGCCCCCTATTGCACATGCGTAGCACATTCTCTGCAGTTTCTATAATATATATATATACATATATTGTATATACAGTGGATTGCCCCCTCGTTTTGTGCAAAAAAATGACCCCGAGGGGCATTCCAAGCCCAAACATGGGAGGACCCCACCAAGTCGGTCCTCCGTATCCACGAGGCGATGTTTCGAGGAATCTGCCTTTGGCTGATTGCCGCTGGATTCGGAACAGGTGCCATGGGACACCTTCGAAGATGACGACGACAACGACGATGCTGACGAAGAGGAGGACGGAGCTGAGAGTTTCCGACGTGCGGCTAGCAGTTTTTTGTTGGCCACCGGGTTTGCAAGTCAAGACATGCAGGCTTTCCACGGACTAGGCTTTGATTTGGCACAGGAAGAGCGGGAGCTGGACGAGGACGGCAACGTTGTCCCGAACCAGGCGAGCTAGGCGAGGCCCGGACTGGAGCACAGAGCTGCGGGGAGTTTTTCAGAAGTTTGCGAAGCCCTGCGCAGGCTTGTCGCCTTTCACTCTTTGCGCGTCCCTTTTGTGATGCAGCTCAATGGCAGATGCCCGCTAAGCAGCTGCTCCGCCGGGACGAAGCGATCCAGATTCTGACATAAACGTGTGCTTGTTCAGCTGCGAGCAAACTAGGACGTCTTTGTTTCGTTGGGTGCTGGTCGCAGATTCGTTGTGCCTTGGTACATCAAAGGCCTTTTCTAGTCGAGGGTCCGACTTCCCTCAGAGCCATGGAGCTTGCCACAGGACCAAAAAGTGCCCCGTTTGTGTGTGTGTGTGTGTGTCCTTGAGGTGCTTGATAGCCGGATTCAGCTTGCAGCATACGTGTTGTGGTTGATGGCAATAGTCCGGGATTTCTCGATTGGAAGCAGCAAATCAACCATATCTTCATGCAGCCTTGTCGCAGGTGGGCGATGAAGGAGCAGGTCACTTGGCCAAAGCACTTCAAGGCGCCAGTGCTTTATGCCTTGAAAGGGCTTCCTATGTAGAGGTGCTGGCTTCGAACAGTTTTTGGTTGAGGTCAAAGGGCTTTAGTTTCACCATTCGCACAGTGATCCCGGTTCTCCAACGAGCGGCCAACAGGTGACGCCGGGAGGCTGCACACCTTGGACGTGGGCGGCAACCGCATAGATGACGCGGGAGCAGTGCTGCTGAGCCAGGCAGTCCTGCACGAGTTGCAAAGCACTTCTTGGCTTTCCATGCTTGCTCGTAGGCTTGCTTTTGAAGAAGACGGCCTTTCTAGATCAATGTGCCAACGGTGTTCTTCCGGGAGACTGCCGTTTTTCTTTGAGCTTCATTCGGGTATGGCTCAAAATTAAAGAGCTGGGGTTACGCGGGTTTTGGTCTTTGGTTCCATTTACCAGGGTGCAATTTTGGTACCACTTTTTTGAGCCACAGCCATTCGGTTTGAATCCAAGAGGTGGCTGTGGCATTCGCCGTAGCCATGGCCTAGGCGCTGGCCGGCAGCCGGCTCCGAGTCTTGGACCTGTCGGGGAACAAGTTCGGGGATGGCGCGGCCTGGCAGCAGCCGACAGGCGAAGGTTTGTCGAGCCCAAAGCCCAAGAGAGAGTAGCGAGGGAAAGTTCAACGTCGCAAACGAGTTCGGCTCGGCTACTGTAGGTTTCGGTTTTGACCGGCTGATTGTTATGGAAGGTCCCACTATTTCCTTGCGAGTGGCTTGCAAAGGGTCAGTGTCTCTGAGCCGGTTTTGACTCATATCAGTGTTGAAAAAGCAGTTTCCTGGTGGTTGCGTGCGGCGTGGTTGCATGGTGGCTACTCGCTATG